GCCCCGCCCTGCCCCGCGCCCCCAGCTGGTCGCCTGCCCCAGCCCGGCCGGCGTGCTGGGCCTCACCGTCTGCTACGACCTGCGCTTCCCAGAGGTGTACCAGCGCCTGGCCTGGGACATGGGGGCCACGGTGCTCCTGGTGCCCAGCGCGTTCACCAAGGTCACGGGTGCGCGGATGGGCGGCCGACAGGGGCGCGGGGTTGGTTTGCAAAGGAGGGCGGCCCAGTCATGGGCGCGGCTTGTGGTGAGCGGGGGATATATATAGGTGGCTGGCTGAGAACGGGACGGCACTGCATCATCGATGTGCGGCGGTGCGGCCCGATGACCGGGCGCGCCCAATCTTGGCACCCGTGTCAGCCTGTGTGCTGCGCCGCGAGGGGGCACGCACCTTTGGGCGCCTCCCATTGTGCAAATGGGAGGCACCCCCGACTCGTCGCGTGCGCCCCTTAGCTCCGCCATGGTAAATGCTGGAATGCAGGCGCCGCGCACTGGGAGGTGCTGCTGAGGGCGCGCGCGATAGAGTGTCAGGCCTACGTCGTCGCCGCGGCGCAGGCGGGGCGGCACAACGAGAAGCGGGAGAGCTACGGGCACAGCCTGGTGCGCCCCGCCCGCCCGCCTGCCGGATATCTCGGGCCGCTGGCAAAATGAGAATTTCGTTTTATGTGAGGCAGGGGGGTGGTGTGCGCGATGCCTTGGGCTGTCTCCAGGCTTGTGCCCTCCCCATCGACAAGCAGCTGTGAATACGGCAGCGGCGGATGTGTAGCAGCGGCGGTGTGCGGGCCTCGAAGCTCACTTGCATTCCAACAACCACCCGGCCCCGCCAACCGCTGTGCGCCTGCGGCGCCGCCAGGTTGTCGATCCCTGGGGCGAGGTCGTGGCGCGGTTCGAGGACCCCCTGGCCACCGGCGTCATCACCGCCGACGTCGACCCGGCCCTGATCGACAGGGTGCGCGCCAAGATGCCGATACGCGAGCACCAGGCGGCGGGGCGGCGGCGGTATCTCGGGGCTGAGTGATGGGACAAGTGCCGCCGGTCGCCCACGCACGTGCGCACATGTGTGTGTGTGTGTGTGTGTGTGTGTGTGTGTGTGTGTGTGTGTGTGTGTGTGTGTGCGATTTGCTGCGTGTGCAGGTTTGCACTTGTGTGATTTTGGAGTTATGCTGTATTCTTTGAACACTGCTGACTTGGATTAAAGCCTCTGCGTGTTTGGCTGCATCGCTGATGTATCTGACAGGAGTGTGTATATATGTATGTGGGTTTCATGCACCCGTCCTTGCGCTCAATCCACATTCTTTGCCGGTTGCGCACCACCGCCACTAGGCATCTCACCCCGCCGCTTGTGCGCTATGTGTAACCAATTTGGTGAGCAACAGTCCCAGGCCACACTAGCACCATCACCGGGTGCTGCAGCGAAGCGCCCAGAGTCTCCTGCTCTGACTGTTACTACAATCTGCACACCCCGCCCGGCTGGTCAAAATCGGGCGTCTACAAACCAATAAGCGTGCGGCGCCCGCCGCCGCAGGCTGCGAAAGGGTCCTGTGCAGTTCAGCGCCAGACGCTCTTGCCCTGCCCCCGCGCTGACACGGGCCCCGCGCCGCCCCTGCTGCCGATGGCGTCGCCCTCCTGGGCCGGGTCCCCTAGGGGAACCTTGAAGTTGGGGCCGCCTGGATTGGCCGGGGTGGCGGGCGGGGTGCAGAATCTTGGGTCGATGCTGAATTGGGAGCAACGTGGGAATGCGCACGCGGCAGGCTGCGAGGGCAAAAGTGTGCATCGTCGCGCTCAGAAACATCCAAGCGCGCGCCGTGGGCGCCCGCCCTCTGCAGCATCAAGCGATGCTCCTGGTTTTTTCGTGCAAAAGAGCCAGCACCCCAGGGGTGCCAGCGCGCGCGTGCGTGCGCTTCACCTTCTTGGAACGGCGGCGGGATGGTCAGCGGCTGGACCGACGGGTGCTGCAGCCGCCCGTAACCCCCGCCGCCGCCGCCGGCCGGCTGCTGCTGCTGCGCGCGC